CGTTTCAATGTTTTTCTTGATATTTGAATATTCTCTTATATACTTATACTTATTTAAAACAATCTCATTCTTTAATCTATTTACATTAATAATCACTTATATAGGCCATTAAATAATTTATTAATCTTGTCTTGATTCCTATGAAATGGATAACAAAATATGCGAAGCCTTGTCATTATAGACTATTGCTCTCTATAAATAATTAGTACTAGTATTTACTTATATATATAGATTAAATAGATTAAGTGTTATGTTCTTATTTATTCTTTATAAGACACTAGGACAATATTTTATTTTATATAAGTAGTCTAATTCTAATAATAAAGAAACTCTGACACAAGAACAATTTTTTCAACTTTAGACTATTACTTATTCTTCTGCAACTTTGACAACAGGAGTATTAAAATATAAAGTTCATGCCCAACAAATACTTAATACCTAAAACTAATAACTCGTTATGAGGGATAGAGTATCTTATCGTTATCATATAGCAAATTAGACCCTTTTTTTAGCACTTAACACATACGGCCTACTCTTCATCCATACGAGCCTAAATTACAAGAGTCTACGATAAGAGTAGAATTACTATGATTCTTTTTTCTTTGACCGCTAAGCCACTAGAAGTTGTGTCAGAGTTTCTTTATTATAATTATCAGATACATAGATAACATTTTTATTTGGGAAAAATGGGATAATTTAATTCTATATTCTATGTCAAGTATTGCCACATTTTTGGATATATTATACAGACTCGTATTCCTATGATAGTAGAAAAGTACGTATACTACGTCGCTTATAAAGCCGAAATTTTCAGTCTTTGGGCTTGATATGTTTAGAAAGATATGTATGAGTATAGGTTAATTGATTGATCAGTCTGAAGGGGAATAATTATTATATGATGAATTATAGAATAGAATCTGAACCCCAGATATATACAGATGCATACAGGAATAGCCACACTACGTCGACAAAGTGCCAGTAGAGGATGGCTGATTCGAATCCGACATGGTGGTCAGATGTAAGTTGGTAAGTATAAATTCGGAATCCTGCTACAGCGATGAAGATTGTTCCGATGATCACATGGATACCATGGAACCCTGTTGAGAAGTAGAAACAAGCTCCGTACACTCCGTCAGCAATAGTGAAACCAGCATTTTCGTACTCAAATCCTTGTAGAATTGTAAATACTGTAGCTAGTACAATAGTTAGAGTTGTTCCAAGAAGAGCTGCTTGACGGTTTCCATAAATTAGAGCGTGATGTGCATAAGTTACTGTAGCTCCTGAAGATAGAAGAAGGATAGTATTCAGAAGTGGAATAGCGAAAGGGTTAAGTGCTTCAATACCAGCAGGAGGCCATTGTGATCCTAGTTCAACCGTAGGTGCAAGAGATGAATGGAAATAAGCCCAGAAGATTGAAAGGAAGAAGAAGGCTTCAGTAACAATGAATAGTGTAACTCCCATTGTAAGACCCTTTTGTACGATAAGAGTATGATCTCCTAGGAATGTTCCTTCGATAGTAATATCTCGGAACCAAAGTGCGAAAGCGAAAATAACAGAAAGTAGGCCTAGAATAATAAGTTCTGGAGCATATTCGATTCCGTGGAACCAAAGAACTCCGCTAACCATTAGAGTTAGAACTGCATGACTAGTAAGAAGTGGCCATGGAGATACTTCTACCATATGGAACGGATAAGCTGCGAAAGCATGACGTGGTGCTGTAATTGTAGATGACATGTATAATTAATGTATATGTAAAACTTAACTATATATAATAAATGTATATATATATGAAAAATTGATGACAAAAAATAATGTAAAATAATAAAAATATTCCACTTATTATGCCTTACTTATATTTAATTTCTTTAAGATAAAAGAAAAATTTAAAGGGATGTCGTATAACGGTTAGTATAAAGGTTTCCAAAACCTTTGATAGTGGTTCGATTCCGCTCATCCTTATTCCTATATTACTAGATATGTGTGATAAATATATATTTGAAATGAAACGTTGCATAATATACCTAGGCTATCAGGTCCACATGAAAAAGTTATATCTGTAAACTCTTCTTTCGTCGAATGAATCGAAACGCCTATTTGGGCGAATTTCATTCTCCTCAAGAAGATTATTCTATTTATATTCACTCATTAGACTTGGATATTAATTAAATTTATGTCCCCCCAAGACCGCGCTGAAATTGCTAGCAGAGGGGTAATAGACTAATGTTCTGCATACTAATATATTGAAGCTATTGGTATAGTAACAGTTTAGAGAGAGATAGTATGATATCCTCTATATACTATATGATGATTAAGGATATTTTAGATATACTCTATACTGTATGATGACTAATAGTATAATATTCTGTATACACTGTAAGATGATTAATGATATGATACTCTCTATATACTGTAAGATAATTAAGGATATAATACCCTGTATATACTGTATGATGATTAATAATATAATAATGTGTATATACTGTATAATGATTAATGATATAATACTCTGTATATACTCTATGAATGATTAAAGATATTAACAGTACTCAATAAAGATATGAATATAATAATCTCTAAGATATGTCAAAAATATAGTAATATATATAAAATAACTTATATCTTATATTTCTTATAAAAATATGGATAGGCCCCGCCGGCTAACAACTATCGGCGTGGCTTGGCGGGCTTCACAATAATATAGAATATGATGGATCCAAATAGCCTCTATATACTCTACACTGTTCTATAATTAAATTATCCTATACATACCCTACACTGTCTTATAATTTAAATATAATATGTTAACATAAGGCCATAAAGTCTATCTCTAACATATATGACTATGATATTCAAGGTTTTTGGGTTCCTATAAGACTTTAGTATAAGATGTATCCAATTGCCTCTATATACTTATAGACGATTAATGTATATATATATAATTATCTAATATCTAGTTCTAATATTTTGGATAGAATATATAACTTTATGGTATGATTATCCCAATAGCCTCTATATACTTTATAGACGATTAATATATATTGGTCATATAATTATCTAATATCTAGTTCTAATCCTTTGCATAGAATATATTTATAACTTATGGTATGATGGATCCAATAGCCTCTATATACTATATATAGAAAAGATAAAATAATATTCCCCCCCGGCGCCGCAACTTTGGCGCGGCTTGGCGGTCCACTGTTAAGAATATAGTAACATTTTTGGATTTCTATAACAGATTTAATATATAGATTTCTTTAAGATTAGGATATGATATTCTATACATATACTCACCCCTCTGCGTCACAACTTCAACGTGGCTTGATTTTTTTTTAGACACATTTTTTTAAGGGTAATGTTCCTTAAAAATAAAAAAAATAGGGGAAAATCAATAATAATATATGATATAAATAAAACTATTAAGAATATAGTGACATTTTTGGATTCCTTATACCCCCAAATAGCCTATATATACTATTCAGTGATTCACTTTTTATATGATCTCTGTACATGTTTATCATATAATTTCTTTTCTATAACCTTTATACACTTATTATATAGTACCGAATACCCAAGACTCTCTGTATACTTTTCATAGTATCTGATATTTCTTTTATATATACAGATCATTATATAGAATTTCTACATTATCATAGTATACGTAATACAGAATTCTCATTTTATCTCTTAATCCCAAAAACCTCAAGAGTCTATTGACCGCTTAATTAATTAATTGATGTTCGTATCTTTAATTTTTCACTTACTCTACTAATCTTTTTATTTTATGCAGAATTAGTATGACATTTAAATTAACCCTTTACTCGGTTCAATTATTATTCTACTCTTTCTTATATCCAAAATTCTCAAGAGTCTATTGACCGCTTAATTAATTAGTATCTTTCAAGTTCCATTTCTCGCATTATTACTCTTTGATCTATTATAAATTAGCATTCTATCCCCCCGTCTAGCAATTTCAGCGCGGTCTTGGGGGGAATAATATTTTAAATTAGCATTCAATGAATAATATACACAGGCTATCGGGCTTCCCTATCTTTCACTACATCAGTATAAGACATTACTGATCTTTCATTATAGAGCAATACTTTTCAACCTTCTTAGGAAACGCGGCAAAACTAACAATAATTAAGATTTCCCGGCCAGCCACGCTGATAATTGTGGCGTGTATGATAAGATAAAAATAAATAGACGGAAGAGATAGGATTCGAACCTACAAGGACACATAGTCCGTTCAGTTAGCAACCGAAGCCGCCTCGCCAATAGTTGTGCTCTTCCTTTAGAATAAGATGAAATGTGCTTATTCTTATATAAAAGTTAAAATTAAATAGTAAAATAATAAATGCCTAATCTATAATAAGAGAATAGGATAAATAGGTTGAACATAATGTGTATATGGGGAACAGTAGGGATTGAACCTACGACCTGCTGATTAAGAGTCAGTTGCTCTACCGCTGAGCTATATTCCCATCAAAAAAGATAGTGTAATAAGATTAATTAAGAAGTCCTAAGTAATAATAAAATAAGAAAAGCAAGTTCAGTTATATAGTATAAGGAGGCTTTTTGGATAATATGACAATACTTTTCAACTCTTTATAATTTTCAGTCATAAAATATACAAACCCTGCCACAACTATCGGCTTGCCGGGAGGAGGCTTTTTGGATAATATGATTAATAAGTAGCATAATAACTATTCAAGGGCAAAAATGTCAGTATATTCTTTACAGTATAAGTTTTTATATGATTTATATCGATTACAGTATAAGTTTTATATAATATATAGTAAAAAATAATAATAAGATTCTTTAACATCGAAAATGCGAATATACTTTTATAGTATCGTTGTGATTTAATTCAATAGGACTCAATTATCTGATCCCCCGTGATTCGAACACGGAATGACCTCTACCAAAAAAAGGTGGGTTACCATTACCCTAGGGATCATAAGGGATATTCCATTTCTAATTTATCTTAAAGTTGAATTTGCCCGCGAGAGGAATCGAACCCCTACCTCAAATTTACAAGATTCACGTGCTACCATTATCACTACGCAGGCTAAATTATATGACATATCGATATAACACTAGCGGGAATCGAACCCGCATATCAGATGTGAAGGATCTGTGTATTAACCATTATACGATAGCATCAATAAATCTATTATCTCATCAAGAGACAATATAACTTTATATTTTATTTCTTATATTTAGAACTATTTCAGATAGACAAAAATAGGACTTATACGCGAAAGGGGGAATCGAACCACCCGATACCAGCTCATGAGACTGAGGTGTTTCCTTTACACTATTTCGCATCTTTTAATTTTCTTACTTTCTTTTATATTCTATATTAAATAAGGGGACCCCCCAAGCCACGCTTATAGTTGTGGCGGGGGAGTAATATTTTTTATTATGTTCGTGTTCGTAGACATAGCGCAATTGGTCCCACCATAGCTAGAAGTAGAATAACACTAGCTAGAAGTAGCCAAACTGAACCGTAAGTATATAGTCCTTGTCCAATAGCTTCAATTTGCAGATAAGAATTAAATGCATTATCAGCAAGAATATTAGAGAAAGCCATATTAACATCAGAATTTGTAATAGCTGTATCAACACCAAGAAGAAGTCCGTTAAGATATGTGAAAAGACCAAGAGGTAGTTCACCAACATCAGATGTAGTTTGAGGAATTACAGATAGAATTTCAAAGAAGAATAGAGTTCCAACAACAAAACCTAGAGGAAGATTCTTAGTATATTCACGTCCAACAGAAACAATTTCAGTGATAGAAATGTTTAGCATCATAATCACGAAAAGGAATAGAATTGCGATAGCACCAACATATACAATAAGATAAGAGATACCTACAAATCCTACTCCAAGAAGAATTAGATAACCTGCAGCATTAACGAATACAGAGATAAGGAAAAGAACCGAAATAACTGGATTAGCAGAAGTAATAACAAGAACACCCGAAAGAATTGCACCGAAAGCAAGAAAATCAAGCAGAAAAGAATTCATGAGAAGTAAGGATAAAAAATTTATTAAAGGTCGAGTAATAACTGCCTAAAATTGGATAAACCAAGTCGCTAGGAAGAATCGAACTTCCTTCTCGATATTAACAGTATCACGCTCTACCAATGAGCTATAGCAACTATAAGATAAGAGTAATAAGAAGATGGTATAAATATAGATATAGATACGATACTCATTCAGAGATGATCAGGTGAGTTGGGCTCGAACCAACACAAACTCGCACCCAAAGCGAGCGTCCTACCAAATAGACTTCCACCTGTTATAACATGAAATCTTAGATCTCTTTTAATAACTTTTTAATTTAATTTTTATATTTAATTCAATGTATTATATAATAAGAAATATCATATAAATAGCTAAATAATGTGTAAACTCTAATATAAAGACATGAATCGGGCAAATAATATATAGAGAGTATCATAAAAGAATGTTATAATGTTATAAATTGATAAAACATATACTTTACACAGTAAAATGTTTCTTTTATGCTTTGTCTTTTTAATATGAATTTTATACTATAACAAGTCTATTAAGGTTCGATCCGCCAAGCCACGCTGCAAATTGTGGGGCCGGCGGGGAAGAAGGGGAATAAGTATTTATAATTATGATCGTGTATTAGGTAGAAGAACAATAGCTGATAGATATACTAGAATTAGAGATAGGCCATATTCTGAGAATGCAATTCCTGTAGTTTGTGCAAATACAAGGAAGATTAGAGATACAAGACCTAGCATAATATATAGTGCGTAAGATGTTACTACACCTGTATCATATGTTGCTACTGAACGACCTGTTCCTGTAAGAACTGTGCTTAGACCATAAGGACCTGTTAGTTCAATAATACCACGATCAATAACCTTAGAGATTACTAGACCGAATCGAAGAGCTGAACTAATAATAAGACCGTTGTAAAGAGCATCCCAATACCACTTTGCATTAAGGAAAGAGTAGACATTATAACCGATAGAATTATTAGTTAGACCGATTGTAAATGATGGAATTACATGGTATAGATATAGTGCTAGCCCGGCTCCAAATAGGCTACCGATTGCAGGTAGTAGCTTCATTAGAAGTGGAAGACCAAATTCAGCTTCAATAAGTGTAATATGATCTGGATGTTGGAATAGAGCTGTTGAAAGGAAATCAGTACCTACACCTACATACATATCCTTAGCAATGTAACCAAATACAATAGACATAATAGATAGAATTACTAGAGGAATTACAATGATAATAGGTGCTTCATGAGCGTGTAGATAATCACCCTTCGGTGCATTAGGTGTAGTGAAGAAAGTAAGAGATACAAGACGGAATGAATAGAAAGCAGTAAATACAGCAGAAATAGTTCCAAGCCAATAAGCAATTGTACCAGATACTTCATATTGTCCTAGAGCAACTTCAAGAATAAGATCCTTACTATAGAATCCTGTCATAAATGGAAGAGCCATAAGTGAAAGTGATCCGATAAGAATTGCAGTGTAAGTAAATGGAAGGAAATTTACTAGACCTCCTAGTCGTCGTAGATCTTGTTGATCAGCCATACCATGAATTACAGCACCAGCAGCTAGGAATAGAAGAGCCTTAAAGAAAGCATGATTTACTAGATGGAATAGAGCTACATTATATTGTGATAGACCGACAGCCATAAATAGATAACCCATTTGTGAACAAGTACTATATGCAATAACACGCTTTAGATCGTTTTGTAGTAGACCTGTTGTAGCAGCGAAGAAAGCAGTTAGTGCACCTACCCAAGTAATAACAACAAGAACAGTAGGACCGTATTCAATAATAGGAGATGAACGAAGCATAAGATAAACTCCAGCAGTTACAAGAGTAGCAGCATGAATAAGAGCGGATACGGGGGTAGGGCCTTCCATAGCATCCGGCAGCCAAGTATGTAGAGGGATGTTAGCTGACTTAGCCATTGCTCCAGTAAGAAGTAGAAGACCAATAACAGTAATAGCTGTTTCGTTAATATATGGAGCAACTGAGAATACTGATGCATAATCAACGTTTCCAAATACCCAGAAAATAGCAAAGAATCCTACTGATAGGAACATATCACCGACACGGTTAACAGTAAGAGCCTTCATACCAGCCTTATTAGCTTGCATTCGTGTATACCAGAAATTAATAAGGAGATAAGAAGAAATACCGATACCTTCCCACCCCACGAACATAATAAAGTAATTATCACCAGTTACAAGAACTAGCATAAAGAAAGTAAACATAGAAAGATATGAGAAGAATCGTTGATTATGAGGATCTTCAGCCATGTAAGAGATAGAATAAAGATGAACAAGAGACGATACAATTAGAACAGGAAGTAGCATAGAAACTGTTAGACTGTCAAATAGGAATCCCCATTGTACAAGCATAAATTCAGAATCGATCCAAGAACCTAGAACAATAGAAACAGGAGATCCAGATAGACCAACTTCATAGAAAGCGACGATAGCAAGGAAAGCGGAAGTCATAAGACAACCAGTAGTAATAATATGAGCTCCAGTAACACCGATAGTCCGTCCGCGTAGACCAGCTACTGCTGATCCGAACATAGGTAGTGCGAGAATAGCAAGATACATTATGTTAGAAGAGAAATATTACCTCGTAGACGATAATAAGCAACTAGAATACCAAGTCCAATAGCAGTTTCAGCTCCAGCAATAGCGATAATATAAATAGAATAAGTTTGTCCCATAATATCATCGAAATTATATGAACTAACAAGAACTAGTAGAGTAACAGCAAGAAGCATAAGTTCAATAGAAATAATCATAAGAATAATGTTCTTTCGATTCATGATGAAACCAAGAATTCCAATAAGAAATAGAACTAGAGATAGTGTCATTAAAAGATGAAAAATATACGACAAAACGCTACATAAAATGAATAGTGTCTTAAATTGATAAAGTCAAAAGAAAGACCAAAATAATGGCTATATAAAAATTATATGATTAATTAACTTTCAGAAAGTTGTCTCATAGTATGAATATAAGAATTCATTAATCATTTCCTATGAATAAGCTAGGACTACGAGGAAGAAGGGACTCGAACCCTCATACACCCCCTCGACAAAGGGGTTCATTATCCGATTATGATACTGCCTCAATATTTATTATATACCCCAAAAATGTCAGTATACTCTATAAGGATATGTGATAAATTTCAAATAATTACCAATAGAAGGTTGAAAAGGTATAATAATAATATAAAAATGAAATATGATTTTCTTATATATAGAATTTATTAAAGTGATATAATAATGCTATGTGTAAAGTAATATAATAAAGGATGGAACAAGATGTTCTCTTGGTTACCATCTAATCATACCAATCCTATATGACATATTAATCCTTATCTTAACTCTATCTTATATTTATTCTTATTCTTATACTTATTCTTAAAGTAATATCTTGTAATGAGTTATAATAAATAGATCAATTTATAGTTCATGTATAAATCATAAAGAATTAGAGATTAGGACAAAAAGTTCTCTTGGATACCATCTATATTCTTGATCCCTTATCTAAAACTATACTCTTTATCTTATTTATCCAACAACATTTAATTTATATAACTTATTTTTAATTTATTCATTCATACCTTTATATCCAAAAAAATAAGGCCCAAGTTGTAGGGGGAATATTTGATTTATTACTAAAGAGGAGTTGGAATAATATCGAAAGCCATAAGAATACTTGGAGATAGAACTACGAATGCAATAGCTAGTGGTAGCATTCCTGTCCAAGCAAACACCATAAGTTGATCATAACGAAGTCGTGGGAAAGTTGCACGAGCCCAAACAAAGAAGAAACAAATTAGACATGTCTTAATTCCAAGTACAATACTTTGAAGATTAATAAATGTATCATTAATAAATAGTTCAGGCATATTATAACCACCTAGGAATAGAATAGCTGTAAGTGATGACATTAGAACAATAGAACAGTACTCTCCAAGGAAGAAGAACACGAAGATCATACCAGAGTGTTCAGTGAAGAACCCGGCTACCAGTTCTGATTCCGCTTCAGGGAGATCAAACGGAGTACGATTTGTTTCCGCTAGAGCAGAAATTAGAAATACAATAAACACAGGTAGCATTGGAATAACAAACCAAATTGCTTCTTGGTGTTCGATGATAGTTGTAATGTTAAATGATCCTGTCATAAAGATTACTGTTAGAATAGCAGAACTTAGTACTAGTTCATACGAAATCATTTGAGCTGTTGATCGTAGTGATCCTAGGAATGCATACTTAGAGTTAGCAGACCATCCAGCAAATAGAGTTCCATAAATTCCAACAGATGAAATTGCTAGAGTAAATAGGATTCCCATTGAAAAGTCGAAAATTGTAAGACCTGCTCCGAAAGGAATAACAGCCCATCCAATTAGACTAAATACAAGAGTAATAATAGGCGCAAGATAGAATAGAGAAACAGTAGCGTGTGCTGGAATAACTGTTTCCTTAACTACTAGCTTAAGGGCGTCAGCGAAGGGTTGTAGTACCCCATAGTAACCTACCTTATTAGGACCTACTCGTCGTTGCATTGCGGCCAGAATCTTTCGTTCGATGATCGTCATAAAGGCAACAGAAAGAAGAATAGGAACTAGAACAATAAGAACTTCAAGTAGATTATAAAGAGTTGAAAGAATAGTCATATTTTTTTAAAGTGTAATAAATAGAAAGAATTCAGAGGTACTCAATACTCTCAGACTAAAATAATAAAAATGGTGTAAAGTATACCAACATTTTCGGCTTAGGGGAGTAGAGTTTAAGAATATAGTTGATTAAGACTAAGATTGTGAATCAAGCCATGATAGGTACTTGTCAAGTGATACAGCTTCAATTGCGATAGGCATGAAACCGTGGTACACTCCACACAGTTCTGAACATTGTCCGTAGAACACTCCTTCACGTTGTGCGATAAGGCTAACTTGGTTAAGTCGTCCTGGAGTACAATCAATCTTAACACCTAGAGATGGTACAGCGAAGTCATGGATTACATCAGCTCCTGTAACAACAAATCGTACGTGAGTATCAACTGGAAGTACTACTCGGTTATCTACATCAAGTAGTCGAAGTTGTCCGTCCTCTAGATCTGAATCTGGAATCATATAACTATCAAATTCAATTGATTCTCCATCCTCGTTAACAAAATCTGAATATTCGTAAGACCAGTACCATTGATGTCCAACGGCCTTAATTGTCATAGCAGGTGAGATAACGTCGTCCATAAGATAGAGTAGCTTGAAAGAAGGGAAAGCAATAGCAATTAGAATAAATGCAGGTGTAATTGTCCATACTAGTTCAATAAGTGTTCCATGGTTAGAATACTTATGTGAAATTGGATTAGCTGTACTGCTATAGTTAATAATAATAGATCCCATTACCCATAGTACTCCGATAAGAATCAGAACTAGGTAAAAGAAAATTGCATTGTGTAGTTCTGTAATACCTTCAAACGCAGGGCTAGCTCCATCCTGGAAACCAATTTGCCATGGTTCTGCAGCATCACATTGTACAAATGTTGACCAAAGTGAGTAAGTCATTTTTTATAACTTATGATATCTATCATCCATACCTCATAAAACTCCTTTCATATATTTTATACAATAAATTCCCCCCTAGACCGCGCTGAAATTGCGGCGCCGGGGGGTGATAAAGGATAGGGTGTCATTTAATTAAAATTTCATATAGCATGTTATTCGTGTAACTATGTATACTATAAGGAATAGTGGAATCGAACCACTGTAGCCACTGTGTAAAAATGGAAGTCTAACCTCTAACCTAATTCCTTAGTAATAATAAACATATATTAATTACTTATATAAGTAATTAACTAATTAAAAAATCTTATAATTATTATAAAAACGGTCAATAATATACTGATATTTTTCCCTTAGCTTATAAAAAAATTTATTCTTATATAAGTGTGCGTACATACACCTTTAATTTATTTTATATTCTATAATATCTTATACTTTAATCGAATTGAAATTTATGTATTTATAAAAAGGCCCTTTTCTAATCTATTTAATATATATGCTTACAGCTCTTATTCTTATTCCTCTTCTTGGTTCTATCATTCTTCTTCCTATTAATGATACAACTTCATTCGGCGCTGACCGAGTAAAGAAGATCGCACTTATTTTCTCCCTAATTACTTTCATCCTATCTATTGTTATGTGGGGTGAATTTGATTCAAGTGCTACAGGTTTCCAATTTGTACAAGAATTCAATACTCTATCTTTCTGTCATCTTAACGTTGGAATCGATGGTATTAGTCTTTATTTCGTACTTCTTACTACATTTATTACACCGCTTTGTCTACTTTCTAACTGGGATAACATTAACTACGGTATCAAGTTCTATATGATCTCTTTCCTTGTTATGGAATCACTTCTTATCACTTTCTTCGTTGTTCTTGATCTTATTCTGTTCTACGTATTCTATGAAGCTGTACTAATTCCTATGTTCCTTGTTATTGGTATTTGGGGAGGTTCAAATACTCGAGTTCGAGCAACTTTCCTTCTATTCCTTTACACACTAGCAGGATCTCTGTTTATGCTTCTAGCTATTATGGTAATTTACTATAATCTTGGAACTACTGATTTCAATCTTCTTTCACTTAATGATCTTAGTTCTAATGGACAAAAGATTCTATGGCTAGCTTTCTTCCTTTCTTTCGCTGTAAAGACTCCTCTTGTACCGTTTCATGTATGGCTTCCACGTGCTCATGCAGAAGCTCCTGTAGGTGGATCAATGCTACTAGCGTCTCTATTCCTAAAGCTAGCAACTTATGGTTTCATCCGAATTCTTGTAGGTATGATGCCTGATGCAACTTCTTATTTCAGTCCTCTTGTGCAAACTATCGCTATTATTACCCTAATTTACTCATCTCTAGCAACACTACGACAATCTGATTTCAAGGCACTTGTAGCTTATTCATCAATTTCACATATGGCTGTAGTAGTACTTGCAATCTTCTCTAATACTATTGTAGGTATCGAAGGAGCTATCGCACTTTCTATTGCTCATGGAGTAATTTCACCTGCTATGTTCGTTCTAGTAGGATCCGTACTATACGATGTTTACCATACTCGTGTAATTCGATATTATCGAGGTCTAGCAGTATATATGCCAGTATTCTGTCTAATCTTCTTTATTACAACAATGTGTAATATGGGAGTACCTCTATCACTAAATTGGACCGGAGAACTAATGTCTCTAGCCGGAACATTCCAACAATCGCCTGTAATCGGTCTACTAGCGTCATCAAGTATTGTGCTATCAGCTTGCTACAGTATTTTCCTATTTAACCGACTTGCATTTGGTTCATTTTCAAAGTATCTATCGTATCCTAAGGATATGTCACGTCGTGAATTCATGCTTCTAGCACCGATGCTAATTGTTGCAGTAGTTCTAGGTATTATGCCAAATATTCTACTAAATGATCTACATGTATCAGTAACACATCTTCTATATTCTCTGTAGCCCCCCCGTCGCCGCAATTTCAGCGCGGTCTAGGGGGGGGGGCCCCTAATAAATATATACTCCCCTTATCTTATATCGAATTAAAGAAAAAAAATAACCCTATTTTTGCTATCGTCGTTAAGTATCCTGAAAAAATCAAAATGTAAGTCGATTAACAATAGCCTCAGTATACTAATGTCCGTTTTCATACTTATAAGATATCTCAAAAATATAGAGATCTTACTTATGGCCCTTTTTAATTAATATAAAGACAAATAGAGATCTAAGTATAATATTGAGAGACAATGAATGCATAATATAATATAAGAAAAGATTGAAAGGATAGTAAGATATTTCTAAAGAGATTAAATGTATAGTATCATAACATAAATACAATCTATGCAGAGTATAATGACATTTTTTTGCAATACAATATATAAGTAATCTAATTCTGAGAAATAATTAAAATATAATATAAATTGTCGGATGAATTCATATGTTAGACCGATTTAAATTATAAATATCATAATCAATGGCAAGTATATCGACATTTTTGGGATTAGTCTTGAGATCTGATAATAGAATCCAATAGCCTCAGTATACTTTACAGCGTTTCTATGTTATATGTATAAGACAAATAAAGATCTAATATCTCATATACAATCAAAGTACAGTATAATATACGAAATATAATAGATGCATAGTATCATATCGTAAATAGAATGAATGTATTGTATTATATTGGAAAAGAGAATGAAAGCATAGTAAGACATTCAATGCATAATATGATTTTCCAAACACATTCAATGCAGAATATAGTGACATTTTCGTATAGAGCTATAAGATTTAAATATATATATCATTGGCAATAGATAAATTCGTAAGTATGAATAATAGGACAAACTGTCAGCATACTTTACGACGCATAATGATTTTAACATAAAACTGTGCAGAATATCGTGACATTTTTGCGGCTATAACATTTAATGTATGATATTTAATATATGATATAAGTATAATAATAAAGGACAAACTGTCAGTATATTTTTCGACTTATATGAATTATTAAACAATAAACGATGATAAGTATCTCGACATTTTCTAATTCCATTACAGCTATAAGATTTAATATATGATATTTAATACACATATTTGATTATTAATAGATAGAACCATTAGTATCAGTTATTTGATTGTCAATTGATAGATACATAAGTTTCAGTTATAAGAAAAAACTGTCAGTATATTTTACGACATATCATGTTATAAAAAGAATAAACCTTGACAAGTATCGTGACATTTTTGCCCTCTTGTCTTATATCGTACTCTTATAACTTTACTTTTATGTTATTAATTTAATTATTATTGGCCAATTCAAAATAGATGTAATTAAAAATCTTATAATGTTTATTTGATTTATAACATATAACATAAGATTAATTTTTGCCACGGTGTTAAGTGTGTCAGGGTAATTAATTTATGTTTATTTTTCTAATTTCTATATAAGTAGTTATAAATATATTAAGCCCATAGCATAATTGGTTAATGCACATCGTTGATACCGGTGAGAGTGTGGGTTCGAATCCTGCTGGGCTTATACAGGTTTATGCCTGTTATTAAAACCCGCCGTCGTCGCAATTTAGGTCAATCTTTTTATTTTTTTCTTATCCCCGAGATCTCGATGAAGATTAAGACGAAGGGGAGAGGGTAATGTTCCTAAAAAAAAGAGAGGGGCGGATAAAAAAAGAGAGGGGCGGATTAAAAAAAGAGGCGGGGCGTACTAATAATAACAAATAAAATCTAATAAAACAATACAAATACAAATACAAATATAAAATTAAATAAAATACAAATCAATAAATACTAATAAACAACTAAATAAAAATACAAATACAAATACAAATCTAAAAATACTAAATAAACAATTAAAACATAACAAATAAAAATTAAACTTAAACTATTAAACAATTAAACAATTAAACAATTAAACTTAAAACTATTAAACTATTAAACTATAAAGCCGTTAGGTAAGACAATATGGAATTTGATTTATTATATCAATGCGAGTAATAAAGAGTAACGCACTTCTTGCTATCGCTAACAGTTATGTTTGTGATTCTCCACAACCAATCAACATTAGCTATGCTTGGAACTTCGGTTCACTTCTAGCAGTATGTCTAGGAACCCAAATTGTAACAGGTGTGGTTCTAGCAATGCATTATACACCTAATATTGATCTAGCTTTCATTAGTGTAGAACACATCATGCGGGATGTTAACTATGGATGGATGATCCGATATATTCACGCTAATACAGCTTCATTCTTCTTCATTTTCGTATATCTACACATTGCTCGTGGTCTATATTTTGGATCATATAAGGCACCTCGAATTCTACCTTGGTCAGTAGGGGTAATTATCCTCGTACTGATGATGGCAACCGCCTTTCTTGGTTACGTGCTACCCTACGGCCAAATGTCACTATGGGGAGCTACTGTAATTACAAATATGCTTTCAGCTATTCCGTGGATTGGTACTGATTTTACTCAGTTTGTATGGGGTGGATTCTCTGTGAACAACGCGACACTTAATCGATTCTTCTCTCTTCACTATCTTCTACCATTTATTCTGTCAGCTCTAGCAGTAGTTCATATGCTAACACTTCATACTCACGGTTCATCTAACCCTGAAGGAATTAGCTCAAATGCTGAAAAGGTTCCAATGCATCCCTACTTCATCTTTAAGGACCTTATCACTATTTTCCTGTTCTTCATTGCTCTTACAGCTATTGTAATGTATGCTCCAAATCTTCTAGGACACAGTGATAATTACATCCCAGCTAATCCTATGCAAACACCTCCATCAATTAATTTAATTCATGTCTCATTCATTTCTATTTTCATTGATGACTTCTTACTCTTCTATTCAGGAATCTATTATTCAATTACAAAAGGATAAAACTATTGATATAGATAATACTGAATATCTTTTCTAATAAGACAAGGACAGTTCTAATTGACGGCAAACCTGTTTCACGAATCGGAACTTTTCGTAACATTGCTAAATGAAATTGAAAGAATATATTTAAAGACATGATAACAGTTGACTATAGAAGTAATTCTATAAAAAAACAAAAAAGATGAATTGCAAGAAACTCTTATATAATAAGACAACTTGCAGCCAAGTCCAAATAAGTGTATTAACCCGCCGTCTAGCTATTCGCAGCGCGGTCAATCTTTTTATTTTTTTCAGGGTAATGTTCCTAAAAAATAAAAATAAGAGACGGGCCGGGAGGTAAATTTGGAAAGGTTCAACGACTAATTGGTGAGTAAGCACATACAATAATCCAGACAAGAGTTTCTTTTGACCGAACGGTTAATGACATAGTCTAAACAGTAATGTGAATTGCTGAAATTTATAATTAAAAAAAAGTTTATAATACAAAATGTGTACCCGAATGGTATCTCCTGCCGTTCTATACAATTCTTCGATCTATTCCTAATAAGCTTCTTGGAGTAGTTGGAATGCTTGGATCACTTCTAATTCTTCTTGCTATGCCTATCCTAGATCTAGGTCGAACTCGAGGGAACGTTCATCGTCCTCTAACTCGGTTTGCATTCTGGATTTTCGTAGGTAACTTCTTCCTCCTGATGTATATTGGGAGCCAACATGCGGAAGAGCCCTTCGTGACCGTTGGAGCTATTTCTACAGCTCTATATTTTGGATGGTTCTTTGTACTTCTTCCAATCGTAGGTCTTATTGAAAACACTTCTCTAGATGGTTCAGATAGCTAGAAATATACTTTTGATCTTATATCTCATAAAATCATTAGTTTATAAATACTGATTCCCCTTTTGTAAATAATATATAAGTAAATCTAAATGATATAAAAGAAATATGCTATGAATTATAAGGGACAAATAGAGTAGCACCTTGTAGTAAGGGGATGTCGTACAGTGGTAGTACACTATGTTTGCACCATAGTAACTGGAGTTCGATTCTCCACATCTCCAAAAATATTCTTTGCCATAATATATTTATTGCTATCATATGACATAGAAATAAAAGAGATAATAATATCGATAATAGTGCCGATAGCTTAAATGGTAGAGCATGGAGCTGAAGTTTCCAATGAGGTAGTTCAATTCTGCCTCGGCACATGACTATGTATTGATTTTCAAAGTATATCAAAAATAAAAAGACTAGATTTTTTCTTTAGTCAAGAGGATGTACGTCTAATTGGTAAGGCATCCAGTTGTAACCTGGCCGAGTTTTCTCATTAGGGGTTCAAGTCCCTTCGTCCTCATAAATTCTTAACATAACATAACATAACTTAATTTAATATTAACATAATCTAATTGTAAAATCATATATATACAAATTGACTATGGAAAGTATATCGACAGTTTTGTCTCATATTTATGTAATGTACTTATAGGTGATTTTAGCTCAATGGTAGAGCGCCTCTTTGTGGCAGAGGATATCTCAGTTCAATTCTGTGATCTCACCCTTATTTAATATAATAGACATTATTACATTAATTATTAAAACTTTCTTCATATAGTATACTGACAGTTTGTACGCTCATTCACAACTTATTATAAGTAAAGTATTATATCTTTACTTTTTAGCTTTAATAGTAAAGTCCGAAAAACTAATTCATATGCATTATATAATTGACACGAGTCATAGTAATGTTAAAGTACTTTGAAGTTTATATTCTTAAATTTCTTGGAATCTACTCTTTGCATATAGTTCATTGATTGATAAAGATATTAGGCAAACAAGATTCGGCTTATTAAATTGATTAAGTTTAATACGGCCCCCCTAGACCTGAAGTTGCTAGACGGGGGGTTCTTGCCGGTATAGTTTAAGGGTAGAAACCTACCACTCATAACGGTAGTAAGATGGGTTCGAGTCCCTCTGCTGGCTTTGAAACCAAGATAGTCAATTATCATGAGAATTTGGTATTATAAATAAAATTAAATAAAAATAAAAAACGATGAAGGATATTCTATCAAATGGACTAGCTAAGTATTATCTACCCAATAGTGCGAATAATGTAACAAATATTACAGCACATAATTTCGATGGAGGTATGAATTCAACATTTATTCTACATGCTACACAACAATCTAATGCACTTATTGGAAATTTCTTCGAACCAATTAACGGAGGAGTAATTTCATCTAAGCCAATTATTGATGTAACATCATCAAAGGTAACAATTAGTGTATTCTATTATATGTCTGATTCAAATACTGCTATTAATGCTAATACTATTAACGCTCTTGGAGAAATTCTAAGTAATGTTTGGAATCTACCTGTTGAACTACGTTTCGTAAAGCTTCATTATCCATATCTTAATGCAGATATTCTAGCAGCAGTAATTATGAAGAATCTAGAATCAGATCGATTTGAACGAATGATTAGTAAGATCTTTGGAAATGTAGGACTAACACAAGAAAATAATCTACCATCAAATATTATTGGAATTAAGGTTCAACTATCAGGTCGACTAACAACAGAACCATCACAACCACGAATGACAGTACAATCATCACAAATTGGCTCATTTAAGAAGAGTACTCAAACAATTATTGAATATGGACAACATACATCATCAAATAAGAAGGGAGCACTTACAGTACAAGTATGGATTAGTCAACGATCGAATTCCCTATAATATTCCCCTTAGTCTGATGGCCTAGAGATATTCTACAATGATGTTCTGTATAAATATAAATAATAAAGAATAAGAAGGTTGAAAAGTATTGCTCTATAATGAAAGATCAGTAATGTCTTATACTGATGTAGTGAAAGATAGGGAAGCCCGATAGCCTGTGTATATTATTCATTGAATGCTAATTTAAAATATTATTCCCCCCAAGACCGCGCTGAAATTGCTAGACGGGGGGATAGAATGCTAATTTATAATAGATCAAAGAGTAATAATGCGAGAAATGGAACTTGAAAGATACTAATTAATTAAGCGGTCAATAGACTCTTGAGAATTTTGGATATAAGAAAGAGTAGAATAATAATTGAACCGAGTAAAGGGTTAATTTAAATGTCATACTAATTCTGCATAAAATAAAAAGATTAGTAGAGTAAGTGAAAAATTAAAGATACGAACATCAATTAATTAATTAAGCGGTCAATAGACTCTTGAGAATTTTATCTCTTAATCCCAAAAACCTCAAGAGTCTATTGACCGCTTAATTAATTAGTATCTTTCAAGTTCCATTTCTCGCATTATTACTCTTTGATCTATTATAAATTAGCATTCTATCCCCCCGTCTAGCAATTTCAGCGCGGTCTTGGGGGGAATAATATTTTAAATTAGCATTCAATGAATAATATACACAGGCTATCGGGCTTCCCTATCTTTCACTACATCAGTATAAGACATTACTGATCTTTCATTATAGAGCAATACTTTTCAACCTTCTTAGGAAACGCGGCAAAACTAACAATAATTAAGATTTCCCGGCCAGCCACGCTGATAATTGTGGCGTGTATGATAAGATAAAAATAAATAGACGGAAGAGATAGGATTCGAACCTACAAGGACACATAGTCCGTTCAGTTAGCAACCGAAGCCGCCTCGCCAATAGTTGTGCTCTTCCTTTAGAATAAGATGAAATGTGCTTATTCTTATATAAAAGTTAAAATTAAATAGTAAAATAATAAATGCCTAATCTATAATAAGAGAATAGGATAAATAGGTTGAACATAATGTGTATATGGGGAACAGTAGGGATTGAACCTACGACCTGCTGATTAAGAGTCAGTTGCTCTACCGCTGAGCTATATTCCCATCAAAAAAGATAGTGTAATAAGATTAATTAAGAAGTCCTAAGTAATAATAAAATAAGAAAAGCAAGTTCAGTTATATAGTATAAGGAGGCTTTTTGGATAATATGACAATACTTTTCAACTCTTTATAATTTTCAGTCATAAAATATACAAACCCTGCCACAACTATCGGCTTGCCGGGAGGAGGCTTTTTGGATAATATGATTAATAAGTAGCATAATAACTATTCAAGGGCAAAAATGTCAGTATATTCTTTACAGTATAAGTTTTTATATGATTTATATCGATTACAGTATAAGTTTTATATAATATATAGTAAAAAATAATAATAAGATTCTTTAACATCGAAAATGCGAATATACTTTTATAGTATCGTTGTGATTTAATTCAATAGGACTCAATTATCTGATCCCCCGTGATTCGAACACGGAATGACCTCTACCAAAAAAAGGTGGGTTACCATTACCCTAGGGATCATAAGGGATATTCCATTTCTAATTTATCTTAAAAAGGTTGAAAAGTATTGCTCTATAATGAAAGATCAGTAATGTCTTATACTGATGTAGTGAAAGATAGGGAAGCCCGATAGCCTGTGTATATTATTCATTGAATGCTAATTTAAAATATTATTCCCCCCAAGACCGCGCTGAAATTGCTAGACGGGGGGATAGAATGCTAATTTATAATAGATCAAAGAGTAATAATGCGAGAAATGGAACTTGAAAGATACTAATTAATTAAGCGGTCAATAGACTCTTGAGAATTTTGGATATAAGAAAGAGTAGAATAATAATTGAACCGAGTAAAGGGTTAATTTAAATGTCATACTAATTCTGCATAAAATAAAAAGATTAGTAGAGTAAGTGAAAAATTAAAGATACGAACATCAATTAATTAATTAAGCGGTCAATAGACTCTTGAGGTTTTTGGGATTAAGAGATAAAATGAGAATTCTGTATTACGTATACTATGATAATGTAGAAATTCTATATAATGATCTGTATATATAAAAGAAATATCAGATACTATGAAAAGTATACAGAGAGTCTTGGGTATTCGGTACTATATAATAAGTGTATAAAGGTTATAGAAAAGAAATTATATGATAAACATGTACAGAGATCATATAAAAAGTGAATCACTGAATAGTATATATAGGCTATTTGGGGGTATAAGGAATCCAAAAATGTCACTATATTCTTAATAGTTTTATTTATATCATATATTATTATTGATTTTCCCCTATTTTTTTTATTTTTAAGGAACATTACCCTTAAAAAAATGTGTCTAAAAAAAAATCAAGCCACGTTGAAGTTGTGACGCAGAGGGGTGAGTATATGTATAGAATATCATATCCTAATCTTAAAGAAATCTATATATTAAATCTGTTATAGAAATCCAAAAATGTTACTATATTCTTAACAGTGGACCGCCAAGCCGCGCCAAAGTTGCGGCGCCGGGGGGGAATATTATTTTATCTTTTCTATATATAGTATATAGAGGCTATTGGATCCATCATACCATAAGTTATAAATATATTCTATGCAAAGGATTAGAACTAGATATTAGATAATTATATGACCAATATATATTAATCGTCTATAAAGTATATAGAGGCTATTGGGATAATCATACCATAAAGTTATATATTCTATCCAAAATATTAGAACTAGATATTAGATAATTATATATATATACATTAATCGTCTATAAGTATATAGAGGCAATTGGATACATCTTATACTAAAGTCTTATAGGAACCCAAAAACCTTGAATATCATAGTCATATATGTTAGAGATAGACTTTATGGCCTTATGTTAACATATTATATTTAAATTATAAGACAGTGTAGGGTATGTATAGGATAATTTAATTATAGAACAGTGTAGAGTATATAGAGGCTATTTGGATCCATCATATTCTATATTATTGTGAAGCCCGCCAAGCCACGCCGATAGTTGTTAGCCGGCGGGGCCTATCCATATTTTTATAAGAAATATAAGATATAAGTTATTTTATATATATTACTATATTTTTGACATATCTTAGAGATTATTATATTCATATCTTTATTGAGTACTGTTAATATCTTTAATCATTCATAGAGTATATACAGAGTATTATATCATTAATCATTATACAGTATATACACATTATTATATTATTAATCATCATACAGTATATACAGGGTATTATATCCTTAATTATCTTACAGTATATAGAGAGTATCATATCATTAATCATCTTACAGTGTATACAGAATATTATACTATTAGTCATCATACAGTATAGAGTATATCTAAAATATCCTTAATCATCATATAGTATATAGAGGATATCATACTATCTCTCTCTAAACTGTTACTATACCAATAGCTTCAATATATTAGTATGCAGAACATTAGTCTATTACCCCTCTGCTAGCAATTTCAGCGCGGTCTTGGGGGGACATAAATTTAATTAATATCCAAGTCTAATGAGTGAATATAAATAGAATAATCTTCTTGAGGAGAATGAAATTCGCCCAAATAGGCGTTTCGATTCATTCGACGAAAGAAGAGTTTACAGATATAACTTTTTCATGTGGACCTGATAGCCTAGGTATATTATGCAACGTTTCATTTCAAATATATATTTATCACACATATCTAGTAATATAGGAATAAGGATGAGCGGAATCGAACCACTATCAAAGGTTTTGGAAACCTTTATACTAACCGTTATACGACATCCCTTTAAATTTTTCTTTTATCTTAAAGAAATTAAATATAAGTAAGGCATAATAAGTGGAATATTTTTATTATTTTACATTATTTTTTGTCATCAATTTTTCATATATATATACATTTATTATATATAGTTAAGTTTTACATATACATTAATTATACATGTCATCTACAATTACAGCACCACGTCATGCTTTCGCAGCTTATCCGTTCCATATGGTAGAAGTATCTCCATGGCCACTTCTTACTAGTCATGCAGTTCTAACTCTAATGGTTAGCGGAGTTCTTTGGTTCCACGGAATCGAATATGCTCCAGAACTTATTATTCTAGGCCTACTTTCTGTTATTTTCGCTTTCGCACTTTGGTTCCGAGATATTACTATCGAAGGAACATTCCTAGGAGATCATACTCTTATCGTACAAAAGGGTCTTACAATGGGAGTTACACTATTCATTGTTACTGAAGCCTTCTTCTTCCTTTCAATCTTCTGGGCTTATTTCCATTCATCTCTTGCACCTACGGTTGAACTAGGATCACAATGGCCTCCTGCTGGTATTGAAGCACTTAACCCTTTCGCTATTCCACTTCTGAATACTATCCTTCTTCTATCTTCAGGAGCTACAGTAACTTATGCACATCACGCTCTAATTTATGGAAACCGTCAAGCAGCTCTTCTTGGAACAACTCTAACTATTGTACTAGCTACAGTATTTACAATTCTACAAGGATTTGAGTACGAAAATGCTGGTTTCACTATTGCTGACGGAGTGTACGGAGCTTGTTTCTACTTCTCAACAGGGTTCCATGGTATCCATGTGATCATCGGAACAATCTTCATCGCTGTAGCAGGATTCCGAATTTATACTTACCAACTTACATCTGACCACCATGTCGGATTCGAATCAGCCATCCTCTACTGGCACTTTGTCGACGTAGTGTGGCTATTCCTGTATGCATCTGTATATATCTGGGGTTCAGATTCTATTCTATAATTCATCATATAATAATTATTCCCCTTCAGACTGATCAATCAATTAACCTATACTCATACATATCTTTCTAAACATATCAAGCCCAAAGACTGAAAATTTCGGCTTTATAAGCGACGTAGTATACGTACTTTTCTACTATCATAGGAATACGAGTCTGTATAATATATCCAAAAATGTGGCAATACTTGACATAGAATATAGAATTAAATTATCCCATTTTTCCCAAATAAAAATGTTATCTATGTATCTGATAATTATAATAAAGAAACTCTGACACAACTTCTAGTGGCTTAGCGGTCAAAGAAAAAAGAATCATAGTAATTCTACTCTTATCGTAGACTCTTGTAATTTAGGCTCGTATGGATGAAGAGTAGGCCGTATGTGTTAAGTGCTAAAAAAAGGGTCTAATTTGCTATATGATAACGATAAGATACTCTATCCCTCATAAAGAGTTATTAGTTTTAGGTATTAAGTATTTGTTGGGCATGAACTTTATATTTTAATACTCCTGTTGTCAAAGTTGCAGAAGAATAAGTAATAGTCTAAAGTTGAAAAAATTGTTCTTGTGTCAGAGTTTCTTTATTATTAGAATTAGACTACTTATATAAAATAAAATATTGTCCTAGTGTCTTATAAAGAATAAATAAGAACATAACACTTAATCTATTTAATCTATATATATAAGTAAATACTAGTACTAATTATTTATAGAGAGCAATAGTCTATAATGACAAGGCTTCGCATATTTTGTTATCCATTTCATAGGAATCAAGACAAGATTAATAAATTATTTAATGGCCTATATAAGTGATTATTAATGTAAATAGATTAAAGAATGAGATTGTTTTAAATAAGTATAAGTATATAAGAGAATATTCAAATATCAAGAAAAACATTGAAACGTCGTAGAGAATATCTAGGGTTTTTGGATCCATATGAAAAAGTTATATCTTATCACTGTAAAAGCCTTCTTTTCGTCGAATGAATCGAAACGCCTATAGGGCGAATTTCATTCTCCTGTAAGAAGACTTGGATTATTATATCTTTATTCACTCTTTGGACTTAGATATTAATTAAGTTTATTATAGACTACTTATGTTCTGCATATCCGTATATTGAGGCTATCGGTATATTAACTGTTTTGAAAGAGGTAGTATAATTCCCTGTATATACTATATGACGTTCTCTATAATTATGTCCGTTCTATATTTAAGACTATAGTAAAAATATAGAATATAGAGTGTTATTATCATTATAGAATATAAAGTATTATTATCATTATAGAATATAAAGTATTGGATAGAATATATGTATAGTATAATTAATTATAATCATCATAGAATATATAGACAATTTAGGATTATGATAAATTATTGATAGACTATGATTTCCTGTATATACTATTAGAAGTTATGTTAAATTATGTGTATACTTATATATTTATACCATTATATAATAAGTATATAGAATATTATTATCAGTATAGAGTATAAGTATAGAGAGTATTAAATTATAAATCAATGCAAAGTATATACACAATTTTTGAATATAATCAGAATTAGTGTAGAGTATGTGCATATATAGTATTTAATCATAATCAGTGCAGAATATATAGACAGTTTTGGAATATGACAGTTTTGGAATATGATAGATTATAGATAGGTTATGATAGCCAGTATATACTTATGTCCGTTCTTTATATTAGTATAATCAGTAATAGAATACATATAGAGTATATATAATTATAATCAGTGTATAATATATAGACAGTTTTGGACTATGATAAATTATTGATTGATATATGATAGCCTGTATATAGTATTAGAAGTAATGTTAAATTATATCTTTTCTATTTATACCATTATAGAATAAGTATAGAGTATTAGATTATAATCAGTATAGAGTGTATAGATATAGAGTATAGAATCATAATCAGTGCAGAGTATATATCTAGTATCGGATTATGATAGATTATAGATAGATTATAGATAGGTTATGATAACCTGTATATACTTAGAACCGTTATTGTGTATGAATCTATAATTATCACTCTACTATATTTCATTCTTGTAGTAGTAGTAGTAGTATACTTGAATATACTGAGGCTATCTTATCCTTATTACTCTTTTCATTCTTATACATATCATTCCTATAGTAGTATACATTAATATACATAGGTTATCATATCATATTCCTTATATATTTCTATACATGTCTTTAATAGAGTATTATACTTCTACAGACCCAATACTCTCTATATACTATTAACCGTTTTATGATATGTATGTATACCATATGTGTTCTATCATGTCCTATATATAATAATGATCTTTATAGACCAATATATATTTTCTATTAGCAAACTCTGTATATAGTTTTCATAGCTATATATATTTATGTTCTAATTAGTGCTATATCAGAATCTTATAGATATTTCTTTAGACCTACATATTAAACACTTAGAAGTAGAATATAAAAGCCTGTATGTACTTTTCAATGCTTAAGTGATTTTATCTTTGACCTAATGGATTCTCTATGATTTAATATAATTATAATGGTCGTAATACCGAATACCCAAAAAATCTCCATATACTTTACGCAGTTTCATATGTGATGTTATATAATATAAATATTTCTTATATATGAATTATTTATCTATACACTTTTCTATAGAGTCCATAGGGAGTCGAACCCTATAAAACAGATTTGCAATCCATCGTCGAGTAACCGCTCGTGTACTCTGTCTTATACATATTATTCTTATTTCTTATACAGAATATCCGATACATAGATTGGCCAATTATTTATGACATGATTATTACACTAAGTCCAAATTTAATAATCCTTGCGGAGCCGCGTAACCTCATTAATCCTTAACTTCCTAATCGCGTTCGAATCCAGAACTCTTCCTCCGCTCAATATTATTACTTTCTTAGGTATTCAATAGATTAGAGCAAAAAGTCTCTATATATTTTTCATACCCGCCGTCGCCGCAATTTCAGCGCGGTCTAGGCGGGCGGGCCGGACTTATGATTAGAATATCAGATTCATATACAATTATTACAGACATGATTATTACACTAAATCCCAAAACCCTTGCGAAGCTCTTCAACGTATATATTTTCGCATAGCTATTATATGGAATATCTGAGCCATTTCTTTCTCAACTTGCGAAGCCGCGTAACTTCCTTAATTTATAACTTCCTAATCGCGTTAGAATCCGCTACTCTTTCCCCGCTCAATGTCATTACTTTATTAGCTCTTTTTCTTCTATAGATTAGACCCGAAACTGTCTATATACTTTTCAGAGACCTATGATTAGAAATTCGTATTCCTTTTATTTCATTTCTCTTTGACCCTATACATCAACTCTATTTATTTCTGATTTTACCATTTCTATTAGACCCAAAAATCTAGTAATACTTTTCAAAGACTTTTAATTTATTCAGGACTATATAAGTGTGACGTCAGGTAGCTATGATTTGATTCATGACATTTTTGAATTATACTTTTATTTGAATCAATCTCTTTAAAACATATTTTTCATAGACCACATATCACTTTTCATATCACTTTTCATTATAACCCAAAAAACCTAGAGATACTTTTCAGAGATTTTGATTTTCTATTAAACCTGATTTCTCTTAGACCATTTTAGATTAGAGATTTCATGACCCCACGCAGAAGTTGTGGTAATTATTCCATTCCATTAGAGATTATTATTTCTGGACCGCCAAGCCACGCCCAAAAAAAAGATAGTTGTGGCAGGGTTAGTTTAGATTATATTGAATCTGATTTCTTTTAATATTAGATTAGATATTCTATTCATTTTTTTACTAGTGAAAGAAAGGGGGAATAAATTAATTTATATCACATTATCGAGAAGATGACGTAATTGGTGTTGAACGTTGTTCCGTAAAGTACAGTACTCGTGAAGCAATTTCCACTACAAATCCCATAGTTAGAACTCCAGCGAAAATCATTGCAACCCAATATCCCATAAGAGTTAGATCGCTCATTGTTACAGCGATAGGATATAGTAGAAGCACTTCTAGATCGAATAGCATAAATAGAATTCCAACTAGGTAATATTGAATAGAAAAAGGTGCTCGGGTTTGCCCAAGGATACTAGAAAAGCCACACTCATACTCAGTCACCTTTTCAGAGTAAGGACGACTAGGTGCTAGAAGGATGTTAGCCATAAGTAGAATTCCAACAAGAACTGGAACAAAGAAAAATAGAATTGTAATTGCAGACATTTTTTAGTAACCAAATAGTGTTAGAGCCAGTAGAGTAGTGCTATTTAGAATTAGATCAGGATATACCGCAAATAGGGCGATAATCATTGTTAGAGTTGCGATAGAGAAACTATGTACCGATGAAATACTTTGTTCTACAGGAACTGATGATGTTAGTGTATTAGAATCAGCAGAATCGAAATGAATTACACGTACAATCTTAAGATAATAATAAGCACTAATTACAGAGACTAGAATTGCTACGATAGATAGGAAATAATATCCACTATGTGTTGCTGAATATAGTACTGTTTGCTTAGCGAAGAATCCCACTAGTGGCGGTACTCCAGCCATAGAGAATAGACAAACTGTTAGAGATAGACCAAGGATAGGGTTAGAACGGAATTGTCCGGCTAGTTCAACAATAAGTTGTAGATCAGTATTTCGACCTCGTGCAACAGCTGAGTTAATAACATAACCGAAAGCAAGAATAATCATAAATGCATTAAGATTAGTGATAGTATATTGGAATAGATAGAATAGGAATGATTCAATAGATTCTTCTGTTCCAACAGCTAGAGCAAGAAGTAGGAAACCAACATGAGAAATAGTACTATAAGTTAGAAGTCGCTTGATACGTGTTTGTGCTAGACCTACAACAGTACCAATAATTAGAGAAAGTAGTGATGATACTAGTAGTAGATTTGTCCAAGCAGCGAAAGATTGTCCAAGGATAAGACCAGATTGTACTTCTAGTAGTAGAATTAGAATTGAAAGCTTTGGCATAATTGTAAGCCAAGTTGTAACAATAGTTGGCGTTCCATCGTAAACATCAGGAGCCCAATTATGGAAAGGTGCAGCTGAAATCTTGAAAAGGAAACCTACAACGAAAATGAAGAAACCGATAGCGCAAAGATTCATGTCATAAATAGATGAGTTAAAGCCTTCAACAGAGAGTAGAGTGAAAATACTTTCAAGATTAGTTAGACCAGTATAAGCATAAACTAGTGCTGAACCTAGCAGAATAAGAGCAGATGAAAGACCTCCAAGTAGGAAATACTTAAGACCAGCGGCTGTAGCAGTGTCAGAATCACGATAAAGAGTAGCAAGAATATAAACAGCGAAAGATTGCAGTTCAATACTTAGATAAATCGATACAAGATCAGCACTTGAAATTAGGAAAGAAGCACCGCAAGTCGTAAATAGAATAATAAGAGGATAAGTTGTAATTGTAGGAACAGCAGTAAATACTGAACGTACATTAAGATTGTTAGTTACAGGTGCCCAAGGAAGTAGAATCATAGCACCAATAACGAAAATAAATGCGTCGACAGATTGCGACACCGATGTTACCTGGAATAGACCACTGTAAATACTTACACCTTCTCCAATACCTTGAATATTAAGAGCATTATAAGATAGTGCTCCGGCATAAAGTAGTACAAGTGAACCAATCCGAGTTAGTAGAATAGGATTAATAGCAGTATTAGAAAGCGCGACGGCCATAAGAATAACAAAAAGACTTAGTACTAGCATCCCTGAAGTAAAATATTTATCTAAATAATTGTGTCATTAAAAGGTTGAAATGTCCTACAAGTACTGGGATTCGAACCCAGGTGATCCACTTGGAAGGCGGAGATAATAACCACTATATTATACTTGTGATAGGTGATATAAAATTATATGATTACTTATATGTTTTATTATTATTATTAAATTTCCTCCCGCCTAGCCACGCTGCTAATTGTTAGGCGGGAAATTATTAAATCGCCCTGAAGAATCCGAACCTTTACTAGTTTTATTTTTTTTTTATATTTCATTAAGTGGTTTTAGTATATATATATAAATTAGACCCAAAAATGTATATATACTTTTCATAAGCGATATAAGATAATAAGATTACTTATATGTTATATATTTATTTATTATTAAATTTAAATAATTAATCGCCCTGAAGGATTCGAACCCTCACTAGCCGAGCCGAAATCGGGAATACTACCATTATACTAAAGGCGACATGAATATTGACAATATCAATAGACTAGCTAAATCTATATAGTATATCTTTTATTATACGAACGAGGAGACTCGAACTCCTACACACTAAGGTACCCGTACCTAAAACGGGCTTGGCTACCATTTCAACACGTTCGCTGTAAGTATATTAATGTATCATTTCTTATATACACTTATAATAATATACAAATCCCCCTACAAGGATAATAGAAATTTTTATTAATATCAATAATGTTTTATTTAATGTTATTACTATATGAAAAATATAATTAGAATATTTTGGTATAGATTAGATAAGAAAATTAAAATTATATGTCAAATATACAGAGAGTTTTTCAGTATAGATTATATAAGACAATTTAAATACTATGACAAATATATAGAGAGTTTTGGATACCTTATTCAATATAAGTTACTAGAGATATATAATAACATAAAGAAGAGATAAATATAGACTTAGTTTTATAGAAAATTGTTATGATACTTTGCAAGGTAATATAATAATAATAAATAGCCTCGCCGCCAAGCCACTAGACAGTTGTAGCGCCGGCGGGAAAGTATAGAAATAATCGATAATAAAGATATAAATTGAAGAAGGGGAATAAAGATATAATGAACTATGAGTAAAGCACAAGGAATGATACCATAAGCGCGAATAGTCCAGTAGCTTCAGCTAGGGCAAATCCTAGAATAGCGTAAGTGAAAAGTTGCCCTCGAAGAGCTGGGTTTCGTGCTACTGATGCGATAAGTGATGAGAAGATTGATCCAATTCCTACTCCGGCTCCTGAAAGTCCGATAGCGGCTAGACCTGCTCCAATAAACTTTGCTGCTGCCATATTTTTATATATGTTATTTTGTTAGACTACCATCACTTTCATTATTTAAAATGACAGATGATTGTTATTAGATTTTGATAATTTTTAAGATTATCTTACTTATATTGATTAATTTAGTTATAATCAAACTATTAAAAAAAAAATATCATATTACACTGAATTTCTTCACCACATTTTTGGGTATATGTATTAGACATGAAAAAGTTATATCAATTAAATATGAAAACTAATCTTATATTGAATTTCTTCTTTGGTCGACTTATGAATTATATATATAAGAATCTTAATCGTAGACAGGATATGATACTGTCTATATACTCTTGACCGTTTTATTAAATCTCCCCCTAACCACGCTGAAGTTGCTAGACGGGGGGTAATTATAAGTTATTCTCCCCGCCAAGCCGATAGTTGCTAGCCGGCGGGTCAGTATACTTTAGTCCTTATATAAGATATTAGAGATACATAAAGCTTAGACCCAAAACTATCTATATACTTTTGACCGTTTTTATTCTAATTATAAAGATGTAATAAAAGATCTAAGATAAAGGTTTCAGATATATGTTATTAGAAATTAGTTATAAGACATTGCATAGATATCCATAATGATATAGAGATTTTTTAAGGGCCCCAACCTTTCATTCCTCTTTATGTCCATATCTTAATTCAATAGAGAATTCAAAGTAATTATCTAAAGGCTCTCGCCCCCCTAGACCGCGCTGAAATTGCTAGACGGGGGGGGAATAAGAATATTTTATAGCATTTCCCGTACGCCGATAGTTGTGGCTTGGCGGGTTAGTGTAGTTCTAGAGCGTCCTTAATGTATGAACACACTAGGATACTGAATACGAATGCTTGGATAAGAGACACTGCGATTTCAAGACCAATTAGAGCGACGAAGATAGCAAATGGAATCAGAGTAGCTACAGCAACTAGAATACTTGAAGTAAATAGTTGTGATAGGAAAGTTGAAAGGATCTTTAGAAGAGTGTGTCCTGCAGTCATGTTAGCAAACAGCCGGATTCCAAGTGATACTGATCGTGCAAAGTATGAAATTAGTTCAATTAGTACTAGTAGAGGAACTAGACCTAGAGGTGTACCTGATGGAATAAAGAAAGCGAAGAAGTGAACTCCGTGTGTGTAAAGTCCAAGAATTGTTACCCCAATAAAGATGAATACTGAAAGACCAATAGCTACCATAATTGAAGTAGTAATTGTAAATGCATAAGGAATATTTCCGTTCAGGTTAGCGATAAGAATGAAGAAGAATAGGCTATAGATGAAAGGAAGATAGATTTCATTAGCAGAACCAATTTGGTCACGTACCATTGATGAAATACTTGCATAAGCACTTTCTAGAGAGATGCTCCAGGCGCTAGGTACAAGCGAGTAAGAGTTGTTACCAATAATGTGTAGACCTAGAACAAGGAATACTGTAATAAAGGCATATAGACCAAGGTTAGTCAGAGATAGGTTAAAGTCACCGATGATAGGTGCTGAAACACTAAAGAAAGGAACAACTTCAAATTGTTCCAGAGGAGATGCGATAAAATGTGCCATAAGACGTTTTTTTAAAAAGAATAAATGTTCAATAGACTATATAGTATAAAAAGATAAGTATATAGTGTTCGATAAAATCGTGTAAAACCCTCCGTCGCCGCAACTTCGGCGCGGTCAATCTTTTTATTTTTTTCTTATCCCCGAGATCTCGATGAAGATTAAGACGAAGGGGAGAGGGTAAGGTTCCTAAAAAATAAAAATAAGAGGAGGGCAGGGGATTATATAAGATTTATTAATCAGCCACAAGTTCCCTTACGGCTACTATGTTTCGACTTCAGAGAAATCAGCCTATATTGTTTCTAACGAGAACATTATTCAACAATATTTGCCTACCCCCCCGTGACGAGCAATTAGTACCCACCCAGAGGTATACTTCACCGCGTCGTTATGATACGCGATTACTCGGAATTCCTACTTCATAAAGGCGAGTTCCAGCCTTTAATCCGTACATTAATATCAGTTGATGGTTAACTCCACTTTTCAGTATTGTATCACATTGTTGATATTCTAGTGGCACGCGTGTAGCCCACTTCATAAGGGTCATGAAGGCTTGTCATAGTCCTCCTAAACTAGACTTATATCAAATCTAGACTATAAAACATATATATTCATAGCGAGGTTTGCGTTAGTTATACGGAATCAACCATAGGTCTCACGAACACTAACTGACGACAGCCATGCAACACCTGTCATATCTAGATTTAAGATAGAATCAAAGTTGAGTTTCCGTATCTTAACGATACTCATATCTCTAACAGACAAAACGGGGCGGTGCCAACGGAGGGTAAGAGAGAAAAGAGAGGAAAAGAAGAGGAAGATCCAAATAAGTTAAATAAAGAAAAAAAATATGCGCGTAGATAATACAGTGCTATCTTTATTTTGTTATCTAAATCCCATGATTAAGCGGTTGTTGCTCTGGTCCGTCAGTTTTGTTCCTCGTTGGGACCTATGGTTTGAATTCCGTATAACTAACCAAACCCGGCTATGAATATGATATGTTTTTATAGTTAAATTTTAGATATAATAGCCTCTAGTTTTAGGAAGGAACTATGACACAGCCTTCAATGACCCTTAATGAAATCGGCTACACGCGTGGCGCCACTAGAAATATCAACAATGGATACAATACTGAAAAGTGGAAGTTAACCATCAACTGCGCTATTAATGTACGGATTTTAAAGGCTGGAACTCGCCCTTTATGAAGTAAGGTAAATTCCGAGTAAACCGCGGGTATCATAACGACGGGGTGAAAGTATATCCTTCTGGGCTGGGGTACTAAATTGCTCGGTCCAACGGGGGGGTAGCAAACATTCGTTGAACTAAGTTCTCGTAGAAAACAATATAGGTGATTTCTCGAAGTCGAAAACATAGTAGCCGTAAGGGAACCTTGTGGCTGATTAATAAATCTTATATAATCCCCTTTGCCCTCCTCTTATTTTTATTTTTTAGGAACCTTACCCTCTCCCTTCGTCTTAATCTTCATCGAGATCTCGGGGATAAGAAAAAAATAAAAAGATTGGACCGCGCCGAAGTTGCGCGCGACGGAGGTTTTACACGATTTTATCGAACACTATATACTTATTCTTTTTATACTATATAGTCTATTGAACATTATTCTTTTAAAAAAACCTCTTATGGCACATTTTATCGCATCTCCTCTGGAACAATTTGAAGTTGTTCCTTTCTTTAGTGTTTCAGCACCTATCATCGGTGACTTTAACCTATCTCTGACTAACCTTGGTCTATTATGCCTTTATTACAGTATTCCTTGTTCTAGGTCTACACATTATTGGTAACAAACTCTTACTCGCTTGTACCTAGCGCCTGGAGCATCTCTCTAGAAAGTGCTTATGCAAGTATTTCATCAATCTACGTGACCAAATTGTTCTGCTAATGAAATCTATCTTCCTTTCATCTATAGCCTATTCTTCTTCATTCTTATCGCTAACCTGAACGAAATATTCCTTATGCATTTACAATTACTACTTCAATTATTGGTAAGCTATGGTCTTTCAGTATTCATCTTTATTGGGTAACAATTCTTGGACTTTACACACACGGAGTTCACTTCTTCGCTTTCTTTATTCCATCAGGTACACCTCTACGTCTAGTTCCTCTACTAGTACTAATTGAACTAATTTCATACTTGCACGATCATATCACTTGGAATCCGGCTGTTTTGCTAACATGACTGCAGGACACACTCTTCTAAAGATCCTTTCAACTTTCCTATCACAAACTATTTACTTCAAGTATTCTAGTTGCTGTAGCTACTCTGATTCCATTTGCTATCTTCGTCGCTCTAATGTCGTTTAAATCGC